TACAAATTAAAACTGCGCTGAACTGCAAAGTGAGCAAAACAAAAAAAATTTAAGTAAGTCAAAATTACACAAAAAATAATCTTTTAGTTTCTCATTTTTTTTAAAGTCCACTTCATAAATATGAATTATGTAAATGTATGCTAAAGTCTATGTACATATACATTTATTAAAAAATAAACAAAAAAACACGATAGTTTTAAAAAATATATAAGTAAAATCCATTTTGGAGCAAACTCAGGGCATTATCAAGACTCACGACGATGTATACATGCATTTAATACCAAAAAAAAAACTTTTCGATATGTATTACAAATAAAAATTTAAAAATAAACGTAAAAGCAAAAATTTGTAATCATGCAAAAAACGATTATGAACAACTCAGGTATTAAACATAAATATTGAAAAAAAAAAGAAATATTTTCAGAAAAAGAAAACGACATTTTTCAAAAAAGTTGTGCAATATTCTTAAAAGTTTTCTAAATACGTAATAGTATTAAATAAAACTAAAAACAAAGCAAATAAAATTTAAAAAATCGAGTGTTCATAAATGGAAATTAGGCATGGAAAGAGATAGAAATAGAGTTTAGAGCAAGAGTAAAAGTGAAGGAGCGTGAGTTTTTGAAGCAAATGACGATTTAGCCTTATAATTTAAAATTTATTTTATTTTGTTTTTATTTATACCAAGCCACAAACAACAACAACACGACAACTACAACCACTAACATCCACAACCAACATACAAACAAACACACACACACAACACAAAAGATACATAAAATAGTCAAATAAATAGCTAAATGAAAATGAGTTTATATAAAAGAAGGAAAACATAAAACTGTGATTACATTTTTTATTGTCGATGCTGATTGATAACAAAAATGTTGCATAAAAGAAAAAAAAAAAACAAAAAAAATTTAAATGCAAGATTGGCAAACTTATAAAAATAAAAAACAAAAATTAAAAGAAAACAGCGTATGATTTCTTTGATGCATAACTAAATAAATATTTAATTAGCCGAAATATTAAACTTCAAAAGAATTACTATGCGTAAAAAAATACTAAATATTACTTGTAAAATGATTTGAGGTATTAGTAAATAATGTCTATCGAGTTATATAATTTACCAGACTTTTTCTTTTAAAAACTTCAAAATTTAAGATTGGAAAACTCAAAATTCAACATTTAGTTCACATTCCACTAAACACTTTCTGTATGTAGTGCACTTTAGTTAAAAATTAAAGTCTGAGATTTTACATTTATATGGTCAACGTATACACCTATTTAATATAATATATATAAAAAAAAAACTAAAAAAAAAAAAAAACATAAGCAAAAAAAAATACAAAATTGACTAAGTTTATGAATTATTTAAACAACAACAGTAAACACACACAAACCAAAAATAAACACATACGATTATATTTGGCTATATACTAAACAAAAATATATATAAACATATATATATAAAGCAAAATGTGTAAAGAAAAATTAAAAAAAAAAAAAGAAAAATTAACTAAACTGTATTTTCACTCTGATTTCTATATATACATATGTCTGGAATATGTGCAAGCGTGAAATTTAAGTAAACAGCTTAAATATATTTTTAATGAAAATTCGGATTAAAACAAATTACGATTATGGCATAAACTTTTGTGTAAAATATTAAATCTAAGCTATACAAAAAAAAAAACGAACAAAAAAAAAACGTACAGAAGGAAAAACGCATTGTAACAAAAACTCACACAGCATGGAAATGGGGAAACAGATATTGAACATAAAGTATATGAACGAAAAATCTAAATTCAATAAACTTGTTGCAAAAATATAATAAAAAAAAAAGAAACATTAGTTTTATTTACACAAATTAAATTTAAAACTTGGCGAAGCAATTTACTATCGCTATCGATAGTCCTTAGATATTGCATTTCGATTGCTACGGTCCGCAAGCTGGTCACACAGTTTTCTGAACAGCTGTTTGCGTGTTGTCGCTATCTGTGAATGGTGAATGGACGCCATTGTGTTACGTGCTGACGAATCGAGTAAGTTGAAATTTGTTGTAAATAGTGTTAGCTGTTGTTTTAATTTATATATAATACTGACGAATTACACTCTACAGCGCTAATTAAATAACGATTCGATAACTACTTGAAGACGCTTAGAAAATTTGCTGCAAGATAAGAACAAAGACAACAAACAAGGAGGAAAAACAGTCACAGTTAACAAAATGGTGAGTAATGCGGATGACATGAAAACAAATTAAACAAAACGAAAGAATCAAGTTAAGATGGTTATCACCCTAATGCATTAATCACTACTATGATACTGAATATACGTGTGGTCAATATGTAGATATGTATATGTGTGTTGTTGGCCTGTGACCTAAAACAAATGCCCATATATGGAAGTGTTCGTGGCTTGCCGGGTATTAAAGAAGGAGGGGCGGGGGCGAGGTAGAAGAAGTGAAACACTTATCAGCTGTGATTGGCCAAAAAAAAAAAAAAACTAAAAATGACTCAAACATTTTCTACTACAACACTCTCGTTTCTTGCAGTCGGAAATGCAAATGGATTGTGCGCTGGATTTGATGCGAAGATTGCCGCCTCAGCAGATTGAAAAGAATCTGATTGATTTGATTGATCTGGCGCCCGATTTGTGCGAGGATCTGTTATCATCTGTGGACCAGCCCCTGAAGATAGCCAAAGATAAGGAGCATGGCAAAGATTATTTGCTATGCGATTACAATCGGGATGGTGATTCGTATCGCTCGCCATGGTCGAACACCTATTACCCAGCGCTGGAAGATGGACAAATGCCATCGGAGCGTCTACGCAAGTTGGAAATCGAAGCGAACTATGCATTCGATCAGTATCGCGAAATGTATTACGAAGGAGGCGTCTCCTCCGTTTATTTGTGGGATCTAGATCACGGCTTTGCCGCGGTCATATTAATTAAAAAAGCGGGCGATGGCAGCAAAATGATACGCGGCTGCTGGGATTCAATCCACGTTGTGGAGGTCCAAGAGAAAACCACCGGCCGCACGGCACACTACAAACTCACCTCGACGGCGATGCTGTGGCTGCAAACCAATAAACAGGGTTCGGGCACCATGAATCTGGGTGGTTCGCTGACTCGGCAAACGGAACAGGATGCCAATGTGAGTGAATCATCGCCACATATCGCAAATATCGGCAAAATGGTCGAAGAGATGGAGAATAAAATACGCAACACCCTTAATGAAATCTACTTTGGCAAGACCAAGGATATTGTGAATGGGCTGCGTAGCACGCAATCGCTGGCCGATCAACGGGATCAGGCGGCCATGAAACAGGATCTGGCTGCTGCAATATTGAGACGTAATGTTAAACCCGAATAGAACTGAAGCTGAGTTGAGTGTGAAGCCTTATATATAGACAGTAATCGACTTCAAATTACAGCATTGAGCAATTAGCAAAGAAAGGAAAAAACAGACACAAAAACAATGCGCATTTCTAGACATTAAATTTGTTAACGAAACATTATAATAGAAAACTTGTTAAATGAAGGAAACCACAGAAAAAGAACAAACAAATGTATTAATGTAAATTGATTGCCCAGTTTTCTAAACATCTTCCTACTCCTCACGCTCCGCCTTGTTGCATTTTTAATATCAAATTTCAAGTCCAGCTCTTTAGACAGTATCTATTAAGTATCTATATTTGAGTATTTTTTTGTATCTGTATAATCCATATATCATAATTTGTAATCATATTTTTTGTATTCAAAAGTCGACGCAATTATTTTCGCATTTCATTTCAAATTCAATTTTCGATTAGTTTGAATGTTACTTTTGGCAACTTCTGCTGCTATTCAATATTTAAAATAATTGTGTTTATAAATATACATAAAAAAAAAAAAAATAAATTAAATAAATAAATAATATATGTATGTATGTGTATTGTAACAATAAGAAGCTCGAAGCATAAATTTTACATTATGTACTTTTACCGACAAATACACACTATGTACCGATCAGCGAAACATATATAAAACTATTGATTTATGTTAATATTGATTTTTGACGGAATGGCTTTGTAAGGCAGAAATACATAGCTAAGGGTCGGTATTCACCTCAAAGGAGCAGCTTTTTGATCAGATTATAATGAATAATTTCAACATTCTACATATTCTAGTCTGTAAGCTTTTGAAGATTAATCGATGCTATACTCAGATAGATAATGACACTTCTTCTATTGAATTTTAAATGTTTTTGATTTCATTTTTTATCACTTCTAGTTGGCGATAAAAATAATATTTACAAAATGATTTAAAGCCAAAAAATACGTTTTTTATAAATATTTTTATTATATTATTTTATATCATTTTGCATATAAAAATTCATATTTGACTACATTAAATTTTTTTTCAGTTTCAAATACACGTTTATTGAGATTAAAGTTCTACTAAAGTTTACAATAACCTGAAACGCAATAGAATATATTGGAATATATTCAACATTGGAATAAATTCTTAAATTCAAATAAACTAGAATCGATTTTTGTTAGCTGAATATCTGATCAATCCTTCAATCAGCGAATCATTACTAACTTCCTAAATATAATATATTTCGCTCCTTATTCCCGTTCCAAGAATACGTTTCTCATGTTCAATTAAAATGTTCAAAGTTTTTGGTTTTGGTATGGCTATGCTTTAGTTTATTTTTCATGAAAAAATTCGCAAACTGCGCTACAAGTTACAAGTTTTATAATAATTCTTTTTTATCAATTTAAATAAGATAAGATGTGTGGCCTTATATCGAATACATGAATACAAATACATTTTTTAGTTATCAGTAAATTAAATTGAAACTTTTTCCTATTATGCGTATCGTTCATTTTTGTTTGTTTTTCTCTTTATCGTGATTATTATATATGTTTATATAAATACTCTTAGTTTTCTTTTTTCTTTTGCATTATCAACTATGTACAAAATCACGACATTTATGCGTGTGTGTGTGTGTCTGATAAGAAGTTCTATACGTGTAGAGAATCGATTTCGGGTCTCTTTCAATACTTCAAAGTATTTTGTCGCACTAGATATCTACAAACTTAATGCTAAGTGATTACAAATAAGTTAAGATTTAGCTTTAATTAGGAGGAAAATGAAAGGTTACCTTTGCTGTTCTTGCTGCTGTTGAGTTCATATACAATATTTTACACGGGCTGACAAATTCGAAAAGTGCTTGTGTGATGGAAACAAGGAAAAGGATTTAGGTGTTTAACATTGGGGCAGAGGAGCAACAGGCTGAGTAGTCGAGGTGCTATATTAGACCAGCAATTAAAACGCCTCGGCTCTCATTTAGTGCGTACATTAAATAGTTATAAATAAATGTGCAGTATATATATTTATATATAGAAATATATATAGATATATATGTAAAAGTCTCTTAGGTACACAGCTTATTGCATTTTGGAAACTTCAAACTTAGTATTTATGATTTCCTCATCGGAATCGAGCACAGGCAATGCTGGATCACCCATTGATGAGGGTATATTCTCCTCCACCCAGCGCAAATCATCATCCTCCGTGGTTGTGGCCGCACGTGCATTTTTAGTGGTTTGTGCGTTGCCATTTTGATGGGTGCCACGCATCTTAATGCCATACGCATCTGCTACAAACTGATCCTCTTCATCTGCAAGCGTAAGATAGAGAATTAACTTATGCTTTAATAATTGTTTGTTGGCGATCTAGCTAACCTTCGTCGTCCTCATCCTCTGGATTATCCAGTAGCGGCGTAAATGCATATCGCTGATTATTATTTGTGGGCCGCCAAAGTATCATAATAACCAACAATAGCACAGAGAACAGTATATGCCAAAAGCCTGTATCTAGCCAGATATCATGCCAGCCCTGTGAAATTCAAATATATAGACATAGCCGATAGGAAATTTGTAGTTGGACTTACAGGTGTGCAGCTCTCGGTCTTACGCAAACGCAGAGCAAACAACATGAAGATCAACGAAGCAATAACAGCGAATATTAGCGTATTTGTAAAGTGTCTATACAGTGAGAGCTTAACCATGTTTCTGCGCAGTCGCAACGTGCGCGTTGTCTGTACGAGGGACGTAAATATCCACCAGCAAATTACAGTATCCAGAACAGCGAGCGGTATGGTTGATAGGAGCAGCTCGCTGCGATCGCTTTTGACTCGGGTAATACGCAAATAACTCTCCACGCAAGCCAGTACAAAGTACAAAGTGCCCACGCCCACAACGCGATGTAGCATGGGACCCAAGCGAGGTCTGTGAAAGTATACAAATTTATATTATAATTAATAGAGGCTTCTGATTCAGCTCTTTAGAGTCCATTACTTGACTATGCCGAAACCCAGACTCATTATGATGACCAACATGCGCGCTAGTGTGCGCTTGGCGCAGGAGACAAACTCAGCAACTAGCTCGGCATGCTCTACGGGATGCCCTGTATTGGACACTGTCTGATACTCTGCATAGAAGAAGGCCTTCTCCAACATTCCAAGCAATATGACGCCCCCTATCCAGAATTGTATACGCAGCAAATCTCGCCATTGTGCAAATGAAACAAATAGCCAAATGATGCCAAATATAACATAAACCACACACATGATCAGATAGAACTGTAAACGATAGTTAAAAGATATAGTAGTACATAGAACAACAGTAACTTGTGCAAATCCTTACCGGCAAAAAAGGCCAATCAATGGCTGATATGTAGCCATGTGGACCGAGGAATTCAATATGCACCGTTGCACGAAAAGGCTGACCAGGTGGATTTGTTAATATGGTCAGCTCCAGCTCGTAGATGCCGTCTTCAGCAATGCTCGCAATTGTCTTGGGCTTTGCCTACAAAAGTTATGAAGTTATTTACGTGCATATGTATGTATGTATACGATTTTTTTTTAACACTAGAACACGTGTCAGCTGCTTATTATTAATTATAAACTATAAATATGGATATTCTTATGAGATTATTACACTTGGTCTAAGGTTAATAATAATTAGCATATAGTTACCCATTTACATATAATATCAATGAAAAAACTTGTTTTTTACAATTTTTAGCCATAATTTTGATGACGCAAAAAACATATGCATATTTCTTAGGTATTTCTTACGAATACTTGCCAGCAAAATCGTTAAACCTGTTGGATATACTTTCTAGTATATCTATCTATTTATGATATAATCTATATCTAGATTTTAATATTGGAATTGAATGTCAAGAAATCAGGCTAATGTAAAAACTGCTTATTTACGGAATCACAACAGCGTTCCATATCAATAAAAAGTCTTAACATATTACCACTTATGATAAAGCTTCTATTTCAGCGTCTAAACATAGTATAGTTTCTGTATATATAATCTATATATTATATATACCAAACATATGTATGTATATGTTAGGTATATACATTAACTACAATTAACTACTTTTCACTCAAGCATATTTTCGAAAAAAAAAAAGTATTTTTATCCAGCATTCTCGTACTTCCGCATGGAACAGCATACACATGAGTACGCAGTGTGATAAGTAGAAGTTTCAGATAACACATATACTGGTATATTAGGTATTCGCTACTGAGTCACACACAACCCCACACACCAGTTATAGAATAAAATGTTGCCAACAAAATTACCGCAAGTGGATTTTGGCTCTTCTTCAGCTCGTGCACTTCCTCCTGCTTGTTGGCGTCGTCGGTGACATCGCTGAGTACAATAAGATGCGTGCAGTTGGCATATTTGCTTGTGGATTTCACAAGGTGGCTTAAGCTAACATTTTTCTGCAGATTCGGTTTGTCATTGAGTGCCTGCAGCTGAATAAACGTTTGTAGTAAATATTAAGAAAAATAAATTCACATATACATATATAGGTTACTTACAAATCGAGCGTCGTATAGACATGGATGTTGCGTCAGCTTAAAGTTTATAGTTAATGGAACTTCACCTTCGGAAGAGCATTCCACTATACGAAAGGAGTAAGACGTTAAGGGAGAGAGCACAGAGAGCGTAAGAGGTTAAAGCGAGGGGGGTAAGGGCAGTAGTAAAAAGTTTTCAGTTATTGCAAATTGCTCACGTTGCAAAATTCAGTGCACTTACGTTTTATGTAAATCTTCGTATTTGCCAATAGCGGACGCTGCTCCACAATCGGTTGCAGATCCTAAACAAATGGGAACCATTCGTACATTCATTTTACATAGTTTTTGTTTTGGTTTTTTCTTTTTACCTGATCTATTACAACGTCAATGATGCCGGGATCTGATTTGCCAGATGCCAGGGTGGCAAAACTGGCAAGTAGCGTAAATGTGATTGTAAAATGCTTCCACATCATGTATACGCCACACGAAACCACCTAAATAAATATTATTTATTTATTTTCACTCTTTGGCTGGCTGCGCGTTAGAACAATACTAAAACAATTTATCGGTCAACAAAACTATCGATAGCGATTAGGCTGCGCAGTCGAAGTAACTATTGCCGGTGTCTGCATAATAATTGACTATATTCTTCTTAAATATTGCCACTTTCGAAATAGGAGATTTTAGGAAGAAAATGAACACCTAATCTGAGTCATATTGTATTTCAACTAATGCTGAAAATTGTATTGAACAGCTGTTCAAATTAATCGCATAAAATACCGCAACTGCCAACACAACTGAACAATACTTGTTACCGTTTTCAGTGAATGTCAATGTTGTTGTTATCGACATATCGAAAAATCAGTAGTTAGCATTTTGTTCTAGAATTTGCAGCTTGCTCAAATGTTTTTATTGTCATAAAACATGGTAAATGTTATGAAAGGAGTGCTTGTTGAATGGTAAGTAAACAATAAAATATTTAAAAAAAAAAAAATTGCTATAAAGATATTCATTGTAGTGATCCGGCTATGAAACAATTTTTGTTACATTTGGATGAGAAACTGGCGCTGGGTCGAAAATTTATCATACAAGACTTGGACGAGAATCATTTGTTTATTTCCACGGATATTGTTGATGTGCTTCAGGCGCGTGTGGATGAGTTAATGGATCGCATTAGCTTTCCACTTCACGAGAAGGATCCATAAACTCTACGTATAATCAATAGCTACAACCAAAATAATGACGGGCCGCGAATCGCATCGTATCAAGGACGCGGAGAAAAAGCGGGTGCTGGATGAAGCAGCACGGCAACGACGTGCACGAAAAGCTCTAGAAGCTCTCGAGCGGGATAACTTTCAAGATGATCCGCATGCAGATTTGGTAATGTCCAAAAAACTACCCAAATTCCAGGAGAGCATAAAGAACGCCAAGGAGAAGAAGGGTAAGCGAAAAGGAGCCGAATACTTTCGAGCCAAATATCGCAAGAATTTCCAACAACTGCTCGAGGAGGACAAACAGAGGCCCAACTACGAGAGCGCAGCTGCGCCGCCGCCTCAAAAACCAGTCCGTCATTTTTGTGCAGTCTGTGGCAACTTTTCTCAATATTCGTGCACAGCGTGTGGGACGCGCTATTGTCGCGTTCGCTGCCTGCGCACTCATCAGGATACCCGCTGTCTAAAGTGGACCGCGTGAATTTGGTTGTATAGCTATTAAAATCCTCAATACAAAATGTAAATTAGTTTTAGCATTCTTGCAATAAACATGAAATATTAACTGCTGTCTCTGAAATACATCGATGACGCTAAAGCTTAATTGAGAACATATCGATAGGTCAGCTACTGAGTCACGATATCAACTGTCATATAATTTTGCTGATGTTAAAAATAATAATAATATTATAAAAATTCCAGTGTTTAGTTAAACTACCGCTTGATTTAAACTACGATTAAATTTAGTGTGTATTAAGATATCGTAATGTATGGCTGGAAATATTTGTTAGTAGTCCACCTCTAAGCCAGGGCTGTCATGAAGTTCGTATATGTGTCAACATTTGTAGCTTTTCATTGTGTGGTCACACAATCGCGCAGTCTCATTTCATTTTTCAAACGGAGAAGTTGCTGCGCACGTTTAACGCGTTGTAAAACAAATTAAATTTTAAGTAGAACGGTCGAAACGTTGCAAACGAAACTAAACACAAAATCTCTAACAGACATTTAATACTATAAATAAATAAATTCAACGAAATCAAAAAGCGAAATAGCGACTATCAGGCCGGTCGACTACGTGCGTAAGTGTCCGTGTGCGTGTGTGTATGCGAGTCCATCCATATATGTGTTAGTGAGTGTAAGCCATAATCCAATCAGCACAAAGGATACCAAAGCTGCAATTGCTAACATCAACAACAAAAACAGCTTAAGCAGAAGGAGATTAATTGCATTGTAAAATGGACTTCAATTTTGCGGATCTGAAAAAGGAGGCGGCCAATACGGCTGAGGATATTTTCAATGCAGCCAGCAAGCAGGTTAGCAATACTTATGACGATTTGCTCGGCGACGCTAACGTCGGCAGCGGCAGCGGCAGCGCCAACGTCAGCGGCGAGGGTGTGCAGGACGATAATGCCCACACCGAAAAGTATTTTGCCAATGAGCAAAAGAATCTGGATTTCGGCGATCCACAGGCATTCGTGCAGCGCATGTCCGCCGGGGCGAAGGAGGCGCAGGAGCAGCTGGATGCAAAGTTTGCACAGAAAGCGGATGATTTTGGAGACTTTCTAAAGCAGGGTGTGAAGGATGTCAAGCAGAATGTGGGCGAGTTGACTAGCGACTTTATGAATGTGGAGCGCGGGATGTTCGGCGATGCTAACAAAGTCGCTCCCCCTTCAGCTCCCGCTGCTGCACCTGCTCCAGTTGCAGCTGCTGCTGCAACTGTCAAGCCTGTCCACGATCAGGAGGAGGACTTGCTGGGCCTCAAGCCAGTGAGCAGTGCTCCTTTGCAGCCCTTTGAGCCAACTGCGCCCTCAACTCACGACCAGTTTTATGATGATGACGACGATGACTTCCTAATCAAACCAACTCCAGCTGCTGCTCCAGTTGCACCTGCGGTTCCAGCTCCAGCTGCAGCTCCAACCCCTGCTGTGGCCAACAAGGATTCGGATACAGATTCACCCTCTGTCTCCTATACTCCTTCGCCGGCTAAGAAGCCGATTGCCGATGCTCTCAAGGAGCAGGACAATGAAAAATTCATCTCTTCCGAGGATCTGCTCAGTGATTTCAAGGATGTAGCAGCTACCGCAGCAGTTCCAGCTCCAGCCGCAGTTCCGTTTCCATCTTCTACTCCTGCTCTGATTACCGATTTGGATGATGACGAAATTGTTGCTAAGCCCGCGGCTAAGGTCGAGCCTCCTACAGTGGTGCCACCAAAGGTAGAGCCGCCCAAGGTGGTGCCGCCCAAGGTGGAGCCAGCCAAGCCGGAGCCAGCCAAGCAGCAGCCGCCGACAAAGCAACAGCAACAACAACAACCAAAAATCGTATCTGTGGAGGAAATCTTTTACAAGTACGGACTTGGTAAGTGAAAATACAAAACAAACATTTCCCATGAGACCCAAGAGAGCTTCGGCTAGCCGAATATTTTATAGACTTGCTTAAGGTATTGTTAAATATGATCAATCGTATATAGGTGCAGCTCGTCTGAGATATTACATATTTATATATTTTATAAAACTAAAGAGTTCAATTACATATCTAAACATTGATATCATATCTACTGTCCTGAAATTGGCGAAAATCTCATTACCGATTTTGATAAAGCCCGTTTAGCAATTCGGTCTTTATTAGATGATCATTTTGATGAGTACAATATATCTGCAGCAAGTGTATAGAATAAATTTATGTGACATATAAATATACATACATATATTATTGTTTTTCGTTATCATTCTGTATCTAATTAGTTTTTGTGCCTGACAACTAGTCATAATGTTTTTTTTGTTCATTTGTGTTTTGTTGTTATTCTTGTCTCACTCCCTCCTGCGTATCCTCGACCGCACCTTTGGGCGAAAGCGTCACCCCACTGCTCTGGTCACTCTGTTACAGAGCGGATGTTGTTGCTGTTGTTGTTACTGTTCTTGGTATTATATTTGTTACTTAGTCACTCTTTTTTTGTTAAACAGTAAACAAGCCGCTTGCACGCTCTCTTCTCCATACACACACACTGTCTCTCTCTCTCTTCGTAGCCTGCGTGCCTTTTGCTTTACGGCTTTGGCATTTAATTCTTATTTTTTTGCGCTCGCTGATGTCATCGGCATCAAGTTTTGCGCTGTTTTTAATGTACACAATAAATACAACAATGCTTAAATATATTTTGATGTATGTATGTATTTGACGCGAATTGAATTTCAGTTTGGCAAACGCTTTTCGTTACGGCTGAAAATTTGCATGCAACCTCTTACCGGCCCTCGCTGCCGTTCGCTCGCTACGATGCTCTCGCTCTCTCCTACGGAGCTTTCCAGCGCAGTGGATCGCCATTCAGAGTGCAGCCAACTATCGATAGAAATTTAGCTACTTAGCTGCAGTGACTAGCTTTAAAATTGCAATTGGCTAAGTTTGATGAGTAAAAGCCAATAAAAAAATTGTGCCTTCGGCAGCCCTGATCGAATGGCCTAGAAATACTATCGTCGTCATCATTTCATTCGTCGTGAGTCACGGCTGTGCAATTACGCTTAAATTAGTCAATAGAACTTGCGTATATATTTTATATATATATGTGGCATAGTTTTAATGTGATTTTTCTTGTAAATATGTATCTATATACATACATACATATATACATCTACAATATATTGTATTTATATTAGACTCCGATGAATCAGCAACTTTGTTGCTCAACTTCTGCTGCCGCTGCTGCTGCTGCTGTTCTGCCTTGCCGTCCATTGACGTGTGGCACAGCATTCATAATTCATATTTCACATTTAATTTTATTCTTTCTAGTTTTCGAGCTACATACATTTTAGCGTATGTCCATTAAAGCAATTATAGCAAAAGAGAAAAGCGGAAGGCAGGGAGACAGAACGCTAGCAGCTGCTGTGGCTGTGGCTGTTGCTGCTGCTGCCGTTTCGAGTACTCTTTAATTTAAGCCTTGCCTGCATAATTCAATTGTCTAGTTAGGGGCCCGCTTCACTGCGCAAATTCATTTCAGTATCAGATTTATATGTATACCCCGTTCGTTAAGAGCAATAGAGTATATTGACTAATACAATACTGTACTAGAAATGTGCATATTTATATAATACACTTCAGAAAAATTTGAATTCAGTTAGCAATCAATTACATTACAACGTCTAAATTTTAATTAGTAAATTCACAGTGTACAGCGTATTTTGCAGTCAGTCAATTAACCTACTTGATGTGCTCTTTTTGCTTTCCAATCTGCGCCTTTATTTTCGCCGCATGCCGGCAAAATTTTCCAATTAGTAATT